CATTTGAATTCGATTTGCATACCGTGTGGGAGGCGATCGTCTACAACCAGAAACCTACTCAGTGTTCGTACCAGTGCAATAGTAATGATGAAGAGAGACATCTCAAATTTATTCGCTTCGGTATCGCTGGTGGAAAGTGGGCGGGTATTGACGTCGACGGTGCCAGCGAAAGTAAGTTGTACCAACTAGGACGTCAAGCTAGTAAGCTGACCAGTAGCAGCGATGGTTATAGTGAAGAGATCTGTTTCGAAGGGCGTGTTCCATTCGAGTGTACGATTAACAAACCTACCGATAAAATATCAAAATGTCATGACCAGCTTATTGGGTTGAGATGTATAAATTTTGGTGAGATATCGAAATTTCATACCCACATGTCTGGATTATTCGAGCATTATAATAGTCTATTAGCTGGAGAATGCTTAGGAAGCTATATTGGTCGATATTCGTGCTTGGTTTTCGAGAACAAAGAATACGCCAAAAATAAACTTACAGCATTATGGAAAGATGACCTCCTATAAAGGAGAGGAGGAAGCGTCATCAGAAACAGAGTTCTCAACAGTGGAGTCGGAGTGAGAGTCGTTCACGACATAGGACTGAACGGTCTTGAACCGATCAAAAGTCTGCCTTCCAACTTTCACACTAACATTTACAAGTGTGCGTGTACCGCCCATTGCGGAGGTACTACTCCTATCCTCTTCACTATTCTCCTCTTCACTATTCTCCTCTTCACCATTCTCCTCTTCACTATTCTGCTCTTCACTATTCTCCTCGCGCTCTTTTTTGACGGAGGTCTTGGATTTTTCGAGAGAACCTTCGCCGGTCTCCTTCAGCTGGAAAACAAACTTGTAAATGCGCTTACTCGTCTCCACGGTGGCCTCAGCACCGTCTGAGAGGAGCTGCGTTTTGGTGAACTCTCCCACGAGGCAGAACACCAAATTAATGATGAGTGAATAATGGTGGTCCATGCAGCTTTCAGGGCGGCAGTGGAGGGACGTGAAGAAGGAATTGAATGTAGCAAAGAAAGACCTGAGCGTCCCGGCATCCAGCGCTGCAAGCAGGTCCCGGATGAGAGATTTACGCTCTTTATCCGACAAACGTGTGCGTGTCGAAATTGCGAATTTTGCAACTCCCAATTTAACCAGTTGATTCGGGAACGCTAGCTGGTACACGTCCAAGTGCTGATCGTAATCTTTGATGGTCAGGTACCCACAGTGATAAGTTAAGGTAAGGGGATCTTCGAGCACATTACGTAATGATCGTAGATAATTTGTTGACCCGGGTTCAACATCAGGGTTAAAGACCGTTGCTGAAGTCGGATGTACGTCAGAACCGTCGAGTGCATAACCACCGAGTAGGGCGGACAGATCATTGTCTGAATCTTTGACCACCCCCTTTAGTATCTTGAAAATGCCTATCTGGTCTGAGTAGTCGCCGAATTCTCTCTCATGAAAGCACATCAGTACACTCCATGGGTGAAAGAGCTGTTTGCCGAGATGGTGGAAGCGATAGCCCCCGTATCGACGACTCAAGGCGTTAAGCACGTCCTCGTATCCACGACACAAGGCTCTAAGCATGTCCTGGATACTACGGTCGTTACCACTGTCGTTCGTTACTCTCAAAATCTCAATTTCATGATGGAAACACTCAGTCAGTTCTTCTCGAGTAAAGCCACAAAGAGCGGGGAAATCACGGTCCAGAATACTACCATTCCGTCGGTGGATCTCGCCCAAGACATTGACCTGCGCCAGTTTCGTAATACCGGTTAGAAAGACAAAACGTAAGTGCCTCTCCTCACGTTTTAAAACACTATAGAACGAATCCAGGAGAGAGAGATGGTGCTCCAAGACATATGTCGAGGGAGGGGCCTCCAGTAAAGGCTTGTCGCTTTCGTCAATAAGAACAACTGCGCCCTTGCCCCATCCTTGGGACGTGTGCTGTATAATTCTAGCGAAGCGGTCACTGAGAGACCCTTCGTCATCAGGTACAGCAAACTGTTTCTCCCATTCGTCCAGCCGGTCACTTATGGCCTCTTCGAGCATGTTCACTTGCTCGCCTGGCGTACTGGTATCCGGATAGTACTCAATGGCGCTCAGGTCGAGATGTAGAACGGGGTACTGCTCCCATTTCGTTTCCAACGACTCAATCGCCAGTCCTGTAAAGAGATCTTTCTGACCCTGGAAGTAAGCCTTGAACGTGGAAATTAGAAGACTCTTCCCGAAACGTCGAGGCCGACTGAGCACGTACGGCCTACCGGCGTTGGCAATCTTCCAAACCTGGTCAGTCTTATCCACGTACACACAACCTCTGGTACGAAGATCTTCAAAGTTCTGGGCTCCGAGGGGTAGCTTTCTGTCGGTCATCTAACTTCGCGTTATTATAACACCCCGTTCTGGGGTTAGACCCCCCCCCCCCCC